CTAACTCCACTGGTTATGGAAAAAGAAAGAAAGAAAAAACGAAAGAAAGAAAGCAAAGGAAAGAAACGTAGACATTGAAATAAAGGAAAATAAATGCAATAAAGAAAGAAAGAAAGAAAGAAAGAAAGAAAGAAAGAAAGAAAGAAAGAAAGAAAGAAAGAAATGTAGGAGCTTAAAGAAACAAGCATATATGGAGAAGGAGGCAAAGAAAGAAAGAAAGAAAGAAAGAAAGAAAGAAAGAAAGAAATGTAGGAGCTTAAAGAAACAAGCATATACGGAGAAGGAGGCTAAGAAAGAAAGAAAGAAAGAAAGAAAGAAAGAAAGAAAGAACGAGAAAAAAGAAAGAAAAAAGAACGGAAGACAGAAAGCAAAGGAAAGAAACATAGACATTAAATAAAGGAAAAGAAATGCAATAAAGAAAGGGCACGAAGAAAGAAATAGAAGAAAAATATGAATGGAAGAAGAAAGAAAGAAAGAAAGAAAGAAAGAAAGAACGACAAAAAAAGAAAGAAAAAACGAAAGAAAGAAAGCAAAGGAAAGAAAAATAGACATTGAAATAAAGAAAAAGAAATGCAATAAAGAAAGGGCACGAAGAAAGAAATAGAAGAAAAAAATATGAATGTAAGAAGAAAGAAAGAAAGAAAGAAAGAAAGAACGATAAAAAGAAAGAGAGAAAAAACGAGAGAAGGAAAGCAAAGGAAAGGAAATGAAATAAATGCAATAAAGAGAGGCAACAAAAAAATAAATACAAGAAAATAAAATATGAATGTAAGAAAGAAAGAAAGAAAGAAAGAAAAAAGAAAAGGAAGACTGAAAGAGTAAGAATATTGATAGAAGAAAAAAAAAAGAAGCAGCAAGAAGGATCGAAAGAATGAATGAAGAGAATGGACTTCGAAAAACTAAAAAAAAGAACCGAGGTAGACACAAAAGAGAAAACATAGGAATAAGCAATAAAATTCAAAAATGAAGATATAAACATGAAAAGCATAAAAGACGGAAACCAATAAAAATATAAAATAAGAAAGAAAGAAGTTTGTAAAAATAAAAGAGTGAAAAAGAAAAAAAAAACTAAGAAGAAAGAAAGGAGAAAAGAAAATAAATAGATAGAAAGGATACGATTTCAGAGAAATAAATGTGTAAAACAAAAGAAGGAATGAAATGAAAGAAAAGAAAGACAAAATAAATGTGGTTGATATGGAACAAAAGAGAAAAATAAGAAAAATTTCATCAGGCCTTCATAAAGAAAACGAAGAAAAAAGAAAGAAAAAACTCTAAATTTTCTAACGGAAAAAAATTACGTAAGCAGTAAAATTGATTCTCTTTACCAAGTAAAACATTGAGAAGAAAAATTAAAAGCAAAACGTAATTGCTAGCAAAAATATTTTCCCATGATACACTGCAGTTGCCAAAATTTTTCTAGTTTTTACTTAAAAGTCCATACAAAAAAGGTAAGAACAGATTTGCAAAAAAAAAAAAAAAAAAAAATCCTTATAAATCTCAATCTTTCTCACTTTGGAATGAATATATATATATATATATATATATATATATATATATATATATATATATCAAACAATGTTGTAAATATATGTGAATTCATATAAAACATCAGAACACATTGTGAATAATTAGATAGATAGATAGATAGATAGATAGATAGATAGATAGATATGAAAAAGACGAAAAGATAGATTTTGCCCCGAGATAAGAAATAAATAATTAAACAATTCTGCGTCTTTCCCTAATCCTTCTACAAAGAAACAGGAAAAAAAATGTGAATCAATACTGTAAAGATTTTTCATTCGAAAAAAAAAAAAGGAAATAATTTGCATTGAGATTTTAAAAATGGTGTATTTTTCTATTTTAATTGAACTCGTCTACTTTCATATCTATCTATCTATCTATCTATCTATCTATCTATCTATCTATCTATTTCTTATTTGTTTCCCATTCGGGGCAATTTTTGTAGCTCTAGATACGTCAGAACAAAATTCTAACGCGTTTTTTTTTTTATATTTTAAGCGACTTTTAAAAATTTTCTTATTTCATCTTTCTTCGACATTTCCACGAGGATTCTGGTGACTTGCCAGGAAGTGAAATTTTTGATCAATCACTCAGATTGAATCTATTTTACCCTGCACCTCCTTCTTTTAAATCTAGAAATACATTACACTCAGTCATTTATGAAATGAATATATATATATATATATATATATATATATATATATATATATATATATATATATATATATATATATATAAGCAAATATATGGATATAGATCCGACAGTATGAAGAAAAAAATATATACGGAAAAAACAAAAAATCCTTATATACGATTATGCTGTTTTAATGTTAATATGTCAACGTCTGACGTTTCGGTCTAATAAACCATCTTCAGGACATATTCATATTTATATATTATATTTATGAATATGTCCTGAAGATGGTTTATTAGACCGAAACGTCAGACGTTGACATATTAACATTAAAACAGCATAATCGTATATAAGGATTTTTGTTTTGTTTTTTCCGTATATATTTTTCTTCATATATATATATATATATATATATATATATATATATAATCTGGGTGTAACAGCAACATTGTCGAATCGTTAGATTAAGCTTTGAGCTGTTGCATGTTAGAAATGATTAAATATATCTTACTGGAATTCTCCGAGGTTTTCATAAACTCTACTTTGAACAATAAGAATGTATTTAGCTCTAAGGTGAAATGATGATCCCTCTTGCTGTTGTGACTTCCTGATCTAGCATTCCACTCTACGGTGCACACTTTTAACCTTGTTTACCGTTCTCTTCATGGTTCTTGAATGGGCTTTGAAGATGTAAGTATGAATGCTGGTACAATTACTGAAGAACTGAATAATCTTTTCGTCTCACCATTGCTCAGTTGGGAAGATCTACAGTGAGGTGAAACAAGTATTTGAACAGTAAGAAAAATGGATTTAGAATCATATATTGAAAGAAAAGCATTGTCTAAAGCTCACAATATATTCGTAAAACAATTATAAATGCAAATAAACAGAAAAAATAAATTATTTGACACGTATATATATTTTATATATACAGGTAGTGAAAAAAGTATTTGGACAGAATATAAATTATGCTTTAAATGTGTTTAATATTTAGTTGGTCCTTCATTTGCAACCACAGCTCTCAGTCTGTTCCTGTAGCTCTCTACAAGCGTCTGGCATGATTTGGTGGGAATTTTAGCCCACTCTTTTTCTGCAAAAACTTTCAATTCACTGAGGTTCTTTGGTCGCCTTTCACGAATCTGATTCTTCAGTGTTCTCCAAAGATTCTCTATTGGATTCATGTCCGGCGATTGGCTAGGCCATATCAACACGTTGATGTTATTGTTTTGAAGCCATGCATGTGTTGCTTTGGCTGTATGTTTCGCATCATTGTCCTGTTGAAAAACCCAATCCTGTCCAAGTTCTAATTTCTCAACTGATGACTGCAAGCAATCTTCTAAAATCTGAATATATTTGGCTGCATTCATTGTGCCCTATATAAATTTTCAGTTGTCCCATACCATTATATGCAAAGCATCCTCAAACCATAATGCTACCGCCTCCGTGCTTCACAGTGGAGATGGTGTTCTTTTGATTGAAGGCTTTTCCATCCTTTCTCCAAACATGGGTAGCATCGTTGTTGTCATAAAGTTCAATCTTGCTTTCATAAGACCTAAAATTTGCTTATAATAGTCATCATGCTTTTGTAAATTAGTTTTGGCAACTTCAAGTCTGGATTTTAAATGACTTTTTTTTTTTTAGCAATGGAGTTTTGCTAAAAGGGCGAGATTTTAATTGTTGTTGGTGAAGTTCAGAACTTATGCTCCTCTTGCATACGTGAGTTCCTGCATTGCTGAGATCTTTTTGAAGTTCTCTCCGAGTCATAAAAGGGTCATTGTTTACTTGCCGTATTATTTTTCGTGAACATTTTTGTGATATTTTGCGCGGTGTACCTGTTCTTGGCCTATTTTCATGAGTACCGAAGGCTTTCCATTTCTTGATTATGTACCCAACAGTGCTCACAGGTAAACATAGGTCTTTAGAAATCTTACGATAGCTTTTTCTTTCTTTATGTGCAGAAATAATTCGACCTTTAAGATCTTTCAACAGCTCTCTTTGCTTTGGCATCCTACAGTACTGTTAGTGCGACGTCTTGGGATAAACTGACCATCAAGATAGCTAACACTTTTCAGTAATGCAAGTTCTAGACTATTCCATAAAATTCTAACACATTCGAGCATAAAATATACTCAAAACATTAATTTTAAACATAATTTCGGAACTGCCCAAATACTTTTTTCACTACCTGTTTTAATAATTTGTATATAAAATATATATATACGTGTCAAATAATTTATTTTTGCTGTTTATTTGCATTTATAATTGTTTTACGAATATATTGTGAGCTTTAGACAATGCTTTTCTTTCAATATATGATTCTAAATCCATTTTTTACTGTCCAAATACTTGTTTCAACTCACTGTAGTAGGACTGATACGAAACGATTTTAACCTGTTCTCTTTCTAACTGAATAAGTCAATGTTTTTTTTTTCAGTGATTCTTACGACAAATAGTGTCAAGATGGTCAAACGTCTTATCTGAAGACCTGGAAAAAAACTCAATTAGTTTTGTGGTTCTTAGATATTAAATATTTTGTTGGGTGGACAATTATTCCATGCTGTTACACGATTTGAACAAGTTTGCTCCAGGGAATTCATCCCGATGAGCGATGTAGCCAAGAAAATGTTTAAAATTGAGTTTCATTTTCATGTAATTCATACTCTTATGGTGTGCTATATTTAAAGGAGAAAGTGGTCAATATCAGAGATAGAGCCTGTGTAAATATAAAAGTGAACATTGAAATCAACACTTAGAGGCGACAGGCTGTTTTATGCTAGACGCATTCGTCAGTTTTTATTATTATATGTTCCTGAGCTAAGTTGATGGCCTTATCTAGCATGGTTTCTGTTATGGAAGGATAAAAGAATTTTATGTCTAATAGTAGGAATTGGCAATTTTGTTGTTTATGCTGTGGAACCAGTGAATAGTTGCTTTTGTGTTTTTCCACTGGTTTACTCCTAACTTCTTCCTAAGTTCAAAATTAATTCTTTCTAGTATCGTTTTACTTATTTTACCTACTTCGCTTTTGGTTGGGTTTATAATTCTACATGCAGGGTTGGTTTTGAAATTTTCTTTATGGTCTTTTAGTGTGATAAAGGCTTGCGCCTTGCTGATAAAACTTATTCGGTAATCTAGGTTTAATTTTTGGGTGATTGCTTTAGCTTCTTTATTGATATTGTGTTCTATTGTTTTGGGTGCCTTTTTGTATGTTGTGGTTATGTTGTTCTTGAGTAATTTATTGTGCATAGAAGGGCTTAATTTGTATAGATTTCTTGTTTTGTCCGCCGCGATAAATACATTTGCTGAATTGTTTATTTAGTTATATCTTCTTTTAGTTTTTATTTTAAATACATCTTGTTTCTTTATGGAATTTTATGTTTCTAACTAGGTCAGTTAAGTCTTTCTCGAAGTCGTCTAATTCTTTTTGCTGCGGGGGCATTTTTTTGGTTTTGAAGCAGTATTTTTCCTTGAGTGTATTGTTATTGTGAAGGTCTTTCTTTTGAAAAGAAGTGGGCATTCTTTTTATGAAACTTTCTGTTTTTTTCAATTAATTTTAGTTTATATATGGAAGGAGATGGGTTGGTTATGTTTTTTAGGGAGGCTAAATTTGTCTATGTCAATACTGTGTTATAAATGTCGCGAAAGTGCTCTACCGTTTATCAAGAGCTGAATATGAAGAAATATACTCTTAAGGTTTGCTATAGTTATGGGATAAAGTGCTCAATATCAGAGATAGAGCCTGTGTAAATATAAAAGTGAACATTGGAGTCAACACTTAGAGGCGACAGGCTGTTTCATGCTAGACGCAATCGTCAGACCACGACGATTTTTTTTAGAAAATAGAATAGACGAAATAGAATAACCAAATAAAAATATAAATAAAAAACAAAATCAATGAACCCAAATAAATAAAGTAAATAATAAACAAATTAACAAACCATTATGACCAAAATATTAGTTAACCTATAAAAATCAAACCAAAAATCGGACGAAAAACATAGCTATAACTGTTATATGACGATAAAAAAAATACTACGTTACTTAAAAATCGAAAACCGAAAAGAGTAAATAAAAATATACAGTATAATAAATAAATACTAAAAATCAAGTAAAATAAATTAATCTAAATTAATCCAAATAAATAAATAAACAAACTAACAAACCGATCCCGATAAATTAATCGTTTCATTCCCTACATTCATTTTTTAAATTGTTCTTAGGTTTCATCTTTTTACCTCTCCTTTCTTTCGCTTTTCTTTCTCATCGCTTCTCTTTTTCGTTCTCTATTTCCATTCTTTCTTTTTAGTTTATTTCCTTCCTTTCTTTTTTCCTTGTCGTTTCGTCTTTTTATTTCACCTTTCTCAGTTCTGTATTTCTTATCACTTTCTTTTTTCTATTTTCATTTTTCTACTTTGTTTCTTTCTTTTACTTTCCTTTCCTTTTCTTTTTTTCTTTCTTTCATTATTCTCCGTTTTCCTCTCTTTATTTTTATTTCTTCCCTTTCCGTTTTCCCGCTTTTTTCTTTCTTTCTTTATTTTTTTCTTTCTTTCTTTCTTTTTAGCTAACCTTTTTCTCTCTTTTTTTGTTCATTCATTTTCAACTTTCCTTCATTTTTTCCTTCCTTTCTTTCTTTCTTTCTTTCTTTCTTTCTTTCTTTCTTTCTTTCTTTTTATTTCTCTTCTCCCACGTTTGACTTATCGTTTCCTTTTTTCTATTTCTAATTTGTTGCCTTATTCCCAGCCTTTCTTTCTTTCTTTCTTTCTTTCTTTCTTTCTTTCTTTCTTTCTTTTCAGTTACTAGTTACGTTTCTTTTCCTCTTCTTTTTCTCGCAGTTCTTTGCCTTCAGTTTTGTTCCTGTATGCGTCCGTTAATTTTGGCAAAAATAACTGCTCATTACCTTCCCCCTTATTAACATTTAACACCACCCCTAACGAGGCTTAAAAGACCTTCCTCATCATTTCATCGGAATATGGCGGGAAATCCTCTCATCAAGCGCTATTGACGTCACTCATTTGGACCCCTTTATTAATTCATCTCATCATCATTATTCGATTAAGTGATGTCGCGCCAAGTGCGCTGCGGGTAGTGGGTGAATGTCGCTGTTTGTGAGTACACCGTCGCCAAGAAAGGACCCTCCCGACGAACAGAAAGACGTGTTTGGCAATGAATCCTAAGTTGAAAGTGTTGGCGGAGAGTATGCTTACCGTAGAAATGGGGCCGTCATCATTACTCTTGACTTCATTTACAGCACGAGGAATAATTACACATATATCAGAAGAGTTTGACAAGAAACAGGAGACATCCTTTACCTTTGCAATTGCCACCATCGCTTCTGAGACTTTCAAAGTCTCCATTTAAGAAATCATCAGCATCAAAGTATTTTTCATTAAGATTATATTACAACTACCCGTTCTTGATATTCACCTCGACAGTCCTTTTTTTCTGTCTTATATAGTTACATCTTCTCAATTATCCACTCACAATGTTTATAATTAACAACAAATGTATTTTTCACTAAGATTCATCTGGAAGAAACAAACTGCTGTTCTAAGAAGAACAAAAGTCTGCAATTCTTTCTGAAGGTTTCAGTTATCGTACGGCAAATTGCCAAGAGGAATATATTGTAATTTAATCCCCCCCCCTACAAATGAGGCTTCTTGTGGGTTTGGTTGATTCATTTTCTACGACTTGTCAACCCTTTGCAGGCTATTTAAACCCAGGAAATATGTTTAGATTGTAGTATTTTGTTTGTAGTGGAGGGGTGGGAATAATAAAGATTTAATGATACAAGTCTTACTAATTAACCCATACCTGGGGGTAGAAGTGTTGGATTCATAACTAATGATAATTTCACAGACAAAACAAAAATTACAATGTGTATATAAAGTGGGGGATCAATTCTATATCACGATCAGTATATAAACTAAGGCCTTATTTTGTGGTCACGGTACTTTCTAGAGATTTATATTCCAGAGAATGAAGAAAAATATACGGAGAAACAAAACAAAAATCCTAATATGCAATTATGCTGTTTTAATGTTAATATAATGTCAACGTCGGACGTTTCGGTCTAATAGACCATCTTCAGGACATATTCATAAAATTCATTTATGAATATGTCCTGAAGATGGTTTTTTTTCCTTATAAAATCAAAAACTTGAAGACGAAATAATTGTTTGTCGACCGAAAGATGTTTTTTTTTTTATATCTGCTATTATTGACGGTTGTGTACGATCTCGGAACGTGCAAAGACGCAACGCTAAGTTTTTCAAAATTTTAAGTGAGAATTTTACTTAAATATTTCTTGTGATGTGTTAAATCCACGTATTCTATTTTTACAAGTGTATTCAGTTAATATGTCATGAACTAAGTATATAGTTCAATAATATAGTGTAATGTCATAGTAGTAGTTTTTTTTTTATAGGAATTTTCATATACGGCGGATCGATAGTTTTTTATAAACATAAAACATTAGGCAGCATATAATTTACATTCAAAGAAATAATCACACATAGAATCAAACAGAAATATATATATATATTTGCTTACATTCCAGAGAATGTAAATAAATCTAAAATCCATTCCCGTGTAGCTAATCAGGATTTCATTGCTTGATTGTTTCGTTTTTTACCGCTTATCAACCCTTTGCAGATTACTATTGACCATCTCTTCGGGTCCCGTCACTAGATCTAACCAACATCTTTATCCACCGTGCCATGTGTCCTTAATGACATCTGTGTATGAATTTCTGGGATTTATAAACTTAATGTCTTCAGCAACCATTTTTACCAGTGCTCATATTGCAATTTTTGCTGTTATCATTGTATGTTTTTCACCAGAGCTCATATTGCAATTTTCGTTGTTATTATTGCTTTTCTCGGGCACTCTTTATTACTGGTTCCTATATTGTATTCATTTCTATGCTTTGTCGGCTCAGGAGATTTTTTTAGCCTAGCATATGTGTTGATTCCTTAAGTTTACGAATTTTCCAATGTTCTTTGTCTATGATTTCAACCTGATCCCGCAGAGGGCGGTGACCTCCCTTTTCTCTCTCTATGTGGTCAGCCACGCCTGATTTTTCCACTTCCCCTCGGGTTACACCGTTTTGGTGTTCTTGAATGCCTTACTTTAAAGGGACAGCCTGTCAAAAATATAGACAGATATCGTTGCAGATTATTTAGAGCCAGAAAATATTTTTAGGTTGTTTTTTTTTTGTTAGATAATAATGATTTAGTGATAAATGTCTTGCTAATTAACCCATAGTTGGGGAGAAGAATTGGATTCATACCTCTCCCAATGGTATTTGCACGTAAGTGAATATAACAAACCCGACTGGAATTGGAACTCGACTTTCCGATTAACAATTCCAAGCCATTATCCATTACACCAGCCAAGCTTACGGCACCTGATTTTCCTAAGCGGTCACCCATCTAGGTACTGACCAGGCTCAACGTTGCTTAAGTTGGGTGATTATATGGGAACCGGTGTTTCATCCGGTGTTGATGTGTTCATAAGTCAGCATTTCTCGAGGTGGGCAGTAAGAATATGTATTAGATTGGTGCAAAAATAATGACGTAAGAATGTCGTTTTTTGACCTTAAAAAATACGTAAAAAAGCGACATTATTACGTCATTATTTTTGCACCAACCTAATAATAGTAATAACAATGTAATTAATTAGATTCGGAAATTAATTATCTTTTTTTATTATTTACCGATAGTTCACTCAATACAAGGTTCAAGGGCCACTCAAGGTAGAGTGTTATTAAGTGAGAGTGTTGTAAGTTAGTGGGGAGGAGGAATTAAGAAATGCATATTATAAGGAGATGTATAATAGATATAGATTCATGCCGGACTTGAAGAGACCAAAACGATATTTGTCAAGGAATCATCCTCTCTGGATTCTGTTCCGGAAAGCAATAGTTCTGGGGAAGAAGCTGTTTGAGTGGAACTTGCTTCTTATCAAAGGAAAACGAAGGGAATGGCTTTTACTAAAATCTATATGGATATTGTTAGTTAGATTTAAGACAAAACTACTCTCTATTAATCACCACAGAGATCTTTCCCTTCCCTCCATTAGAATGTCTGACGCTCAACTTCTCGAGAGCAACTCTCTGCGGCTGCTCGATCTCACGTTGACTGCTGACCTGAGATGGAATAAATACATTGAGTCAATTGCCTCGTCCACCGCAAGGAAAGTTGGCTCCCTGAGCCGCGCCAGGAAGTTTTTCTCCCAGGAGTCGATCCTCCAGATCTACAAATCAACAATTCGCCCTTGCATGGAGTATTGCTGCCATATATGGTCTGGTGCCCCTTCTGTTTGCCTAGGGTTTCTTGATAGGCTCCAGAGGCGGATATGCAATGTAGTTGGCCCTGCCCTGGCGTCTCGTCTACAGTCACTTTCTCAAAGACGCGCCGTCGCCTCTCTCTGTCTGTTTTACAAATACTTTCATAGACTTTGCTCCGAGGAGCTGCATTCGCTGGTTCCCAGATGCCATGAGTTCCAGCGCCTTACGAGGCTGGCATCCTGCTCTCACCCCTTCACTGTCAAAACTCCTAAATGTAGCCGTCTCTTCCACTCTAATAGCTTCATGTCTCGCACTTCTCGCCTGTGGAACTCCCTTCCCTATTCCTGTTTCCCTGTGAGCTATAATCTCCAGCTATTCAAATGTAATGTCAATCGACATCTCCAGTTGCCTTGATCTATCCACTACCCTCATCCTTTCTTCTATCACTCCTATCTGATCTTACTCTAAACTTTCTGTAACCCCTTGCGTCCTAGTGGCTTCCCGCCTTGCTTAGGGTGAAATGCTAAAAAAAAAAAAATATATAATCACATTTATTTTGGGCGACTGCAATCTAGCGGGAAATTTCCGTATAGTGCTATACGGAAATACTGAAATATTTTCTACGAGACTTTTTTTAAAATTTTTTTAATGTTCATGACTTTTGAGGAATGACGTTCCAAATTGTCTATCGAATTTGGTAATATTCAGTTAATTTAGAGCGATATTTCGTCTTGTTCTTTGTAATAATCTTAAGTTATTGTTTACCATGTTTCCACTGAATCTAAGTCTATACTACTTAGTATCGGGTTTGAACTTATAATTAATATACCACCAAATTCAACTATTTAATCATCCATATTTCCCGTTTCGCTGTTTCGTGAATTTGGTGGCATAAGAATTGAGTGAGTTTAATCCCAATGTCGGGTAGTACATATACAAAATTAGTAAAAACAGATCGACCATTTATTTTTTAAAGAACAAGATATCCGTGGACATGAACAGCCGAACAAGAACAATCTACCCACATAGGGTTCAGTTCACCTGAAAAAGGCCACGGAACAAAACACTCGAAGCAGTGTGATAACAGCAAGAAGATGAGACCATTAAATACAGACAATATTAACAAACTAGCCCAATAGATTAAGCATTTATTTCGAAATCCCTTGAAGGTTACCCATCCAAGTACAAATAATATTATTAATTCCTCTTCCCAGAACTTCAGATTGAAATTATGACTAATACATGCTAGTCCTGTGTATGACGATATACTACAACCGGTAGCAAGGTCTTTGATCGGGTGATTGAATGTTTTGAGGAGCGTGGAACCACCTCTTAATTGCTGTTGTTACCAAGTTCACCCTGACCTGGTGTGGTAGCACCTGTTAGGGTCCCAACTATGGGCAAATAGTGAACTCCACCCCCGCAAAAAAAAAAAAATAACAATACACTATGGAAATATAACAATGCATTTTTATAGTAAAAATACCAGCAATACATTTTTATATTAAAAATTACCAACAATACTTACTTATGGTAAAATTACCAACAATACCTGTTTATGGTAAAATTACCAATAATAACTATTTATATTAGAATTACCAGCAATAGATTTTATAGACGAATTGCCAACAATACTTTTTATGGCAAAATGACCATTAATACATTTTATCTGTAAGTAAAGGCATAAAATTGCGTTCAAAATATGTCCTAGTTGAAGCTATAAAATTGTCCCGAATATTTAGATTTCGGCATTAAATAACCCAAAGGTTTATACCGCTAGGCAAATTCAACCAAGCAACAACTAATATATGTATAAATCTTGCTCTATAGTTCCAGAAATTAAGACAAATTCAGTGACAAGTTTTATTATTCTTATGTTCTACGACTATCTTCCTTGCATGGCTTTTATGCTGTAATGTACCAAGTTTATTAAATATCCGAAACACGTTTTTCTTTTATTCTTCAAGCAGTTATTTTCCTTTCCCCGTGTCTTGCCGGCCTCCCTTGTTTGTCATTTTTTTTTTCCTCGGGTTTTATTTATACGAGTATAATGATTACTTTGCCGAAGAGACATCGCCCCATCACCAAACCCGTATCCAGGCCATACATGTTTTTTCTCACGCTTCCCGGGTCTCTCCACCATCCACTTCACTTGAAATGTTCGTTCTACATCTCTTGTCAGGCAAATCGAACACTGTTCAATTGATGACTGTATTGATACGTCAGTCTAGGAAAAGCGACATTTTACACATACACCTTCGCCTGCCCCAGTCTAAAATTCTCATCGTATTAGTCTTCATCTCGTTTTTTTTCTCATCGTTTCTCGCGAGACTTTAGTCTTTACACAATTGGGTATATAAACCGAAGCGCCAAAAAATTAGCGACCGCTACCTAATGACTTGTACATATCAGGGGGTCTACGAAATACTGAAATCGTTAAGTTTATATATATATATATATATATATATATATATATATATATATATACTAGCAGTAGAGCCTGAAAAATAAAATTGACAAAGATTATTGTTTAAGGTTGACGGACACGCATGTCTTAATTAGTTTTTTTTTGTTTTTGTTTCTTTGTTTTTTTTTTTACGAATTGGTCAAACCCAAGCTCAAACGAAAAACATTGTTTTCAATCATTATGAGACTACCGATTGAATAGAATTTTATTATAAACAATTGTCTTGTAAATGGAATTTTTAAAGCATTCTGAATGTAAAAATAAAGAAAAAAAGTGTGCAAGACAATGGGAAACACTACCTGCCAAAAAAAAGTGAGGTTTTGTTGAAATCGGTTGAAAAAATGTAGGAAAGGAAATAAACGACACCCACATATAAACACACACACACACACACACACACACACACACACACACACACACACAACCTGGGTTTTATAAGTATAACTCGATATGAGTTGTCCCCTTCATTCTGGCGACACAATCCTGTTTCATCGTGTTTTCAAATTGATTTCGTGCAAAAAAATTGTGTTTTTCCCATTTTTGGCGCTGTCAGAACCACCGCAAGGTAATTTTACGTAGTCCTGTGAAGTTTTGTTGAAATCGGTTGAAAAAACGTAGGAAATCCGATCCAATATATAAACGTACAGACACACACAATCTGCGTTTTATAATAAGTAATATATATATATCCAGGGATCTTCTGGAGTTATACATCATTGGGCTTTAGGTTTATATACCCAATTCTGTAAAGACTTTAGTCTTACCACAATTGGGTATATAAACTGAAGCGCTAAATAATTAGTGACCGCTACCTAGTGTCTTGTACATATCGGCGGTGGGGGGTGGGATACGAAATATTGGAATATTGTGGGGATATATCTATCCAGGGATCTTCCGGAATTACGCATAATTGAGCTGTGCTTGTATTGCGCCTAATTACAATGAATTTAGTGTGGTTTACAACATGAATCATTCCGAGGTGCATTCGAAAAGTATCCTACTTTATTTTTCCCGCCAAAACTAATGCTGCATTGGCAAAAAAACCTTCCAGCGCATGGATGAAGATTTTCGCGCCGGTAGGCCGCGTCAGTTCCTGTCTGTTAAGCCTAGAGTACAGACGTGTAGTGCGCGCTGATCAGATTTTCGTTCTCATGCAAGATGACCGAACGAATCGAGCAGTGATATTGCTCAGTTTTGCCAAATTCTCAAGCTCAAACAATCCAGAAGATTCAGCAGACCTTTGGTACAACCGATTCCAACATAGCTCCACCTCATTTATATATTTAGATTTTAGTGCAATATAGAATCCGTACGTAGGTGTGTCCTATAAAGGGTGAGGCGCGTTCTCCATAAAAGGTTTTCCTCGTTGTCTGATTTCTCCTCTTTTGTTCGGATTCTTTATTCAAATACACACACACACACACACACACACACACACACACACACACACACACACACATATATATATATATATATATATATATAGATAATATTAGTGGAAAATATACATACATATGCAAAATATATATAAAAAAATACCCATATATGTATATTTTCAGAAAAAAATTTTTCAAGAGGAAGAATCCAGGTAGAACTCAATGTCTAGGACAGGTGAGGATATAATAAAAGGCTTAAACACTAATATTCCATGGAATGTTTAAGTGTTTATATATATTTATATATATATATATATATATATATATATATATATATATATATAAAAGTGAACATAGAAGTCA